AAAAAAAAAAAAAAAAAAAAAAAAAAAATTCAACACATGTCAAAAAGGTTTTTTTCTTGGGACCAGACAGGGTTTATGCGGAATAGGAATATCCAAGACAACATTATACTGGTAAAAGAGACCATTAGGTATGCGAGGCAACGAAAGACCGAGGCAACCATTTTGTTTATTGACTTCGAAAAGGCTTACGACCACGTTGGCTGGGACTTCCTACAAATGTGCTTGTCCACCATGAATTTTTGACCTCTGTTCTGCAAATGGATTAATATCCTTCATAGGAATTCCACAACCAATATCATGATTAATGATCACCTCGCCTCCCCGTTTCGATTGCAAAGATCGGTTAGGCAGGGGGATCCCATGGCACCTATGTTGTTTGAGCTGGTAATGAAAACACTGGCAGCTATGATTAGAGTCAATCCGGAGATCCAAAAAAATGACGTCCCTGAAATTCAGCCTCACTTGATCCTTGTCACTTCGCTGTTTGCGGATGATCTCACAGTTCTCTTCAGAGCCAATGATCAGAGCCTCAGAGCACTGGAGCATACCATTCACCTAATCGAGATTGCCGCAGACATGAAAGTGAACTGGGGTACTAAGACGGAAGGCTGGTGGCTTCGCCCCAATGGCAACCCTCCGCCAGCGGACCCACAAGTCGCTTGGAAGCCGGATGATATAACAATTAGAGTATTAGGGGTGAACTTGACGGCTCGAGGTCCGTCCGACAACCATGGTGAGGAATTGGTAGGTATTGCGGTAGAAAGAATGAAGAAATGAGACTCAAAACCCACTTCTCTTGTTGGAAGGGTTCTAGCCATCAACAACGTCATCTTTGCCTCCATCTGGTACAAGGTAACATTTTGGGAAATAAATCGTAAACAGTTGTCAAAACTCGAACAGGTAGTGACAGCCTATCTGTGGAAAAATAATCACAATGACATACGAGTCATCAAAAGAGTGGCATGGGAGAGTATAATACAACCAAGATCCCACGGTGCACTGGGGATTATTGATCCGGAAGAAGAAATAAAAGCACTGATATTCAAAATTCTTGTACGACTGTTGCTGGGAAATGATATCCCCTGGGTTGGGTAAGCACATGGCCCCGCCCTCCTGCTCCAGCCACCAGGTCCACCCACTTAGATGGCTAACTAACAGTCACTGGTCAATCCCGACCCCTCCCAAAAAAGATGCGGATGTCTCCCCGTCCGCGAGGACGAAGCAGGATCTCCGTATTGATCCGTTGTGGACTACTCTGATCAGATTATGGAGAGAGAGGGGGCCACAGCGAACTACCATACCATTAAGATGGGAAGAAATTTGGCGCCAACCTCTGTTCGGTCACCACCAGATCCTCGATCAAACTGGCTCACCATTCTCCCTGCGCAACAAATCCAAATGGTTGAATTGGGTCAAGAAGGGAATATACACAATTGGGGACCTATGGGACTCACAAACGGGAAATTGGGCAACAGTGGACGTACTTAAAATGAGAATAGGGATTATCAAGAACATGGCCCGGGGTCTGCAAGAAATTCAAGAAGCAATACCATTGGCCAACCATTTCTGACCTAGACTGAGTGACATTAGTGGACGAGCTACCTCTCCCAATGTCCGTCTACCAAGCCCAAATGGTGGAAGGCAGCCGAGCCCAATTACAGGTTTTTAGCCCTGTGAACCCGGGACAACGTTGGTCTAAGCTACTTAGAGTCGAGGAGATGGACAAAGCCCTTCCGATCTCTCGTCTTGTTAAAATAAGGGTTGTGGAAGACCTGAAGGCAGGGTTCTTCCTTTATGAACCATCCACCCCTCTCCTTCTATTGTCATTCGATCCGACGGAATGAGAATGGAAAGACGAAGGGTCTAACCTACTCTATCTCTGGCAATACATGGTCAAGAATGAATATAGGAGAGGTAGAAAAAAAATTTCAGTCAGGGACACCATTAAACAGATGGGACAGGGACTCCCCTCTAACAAAACAACAGTTGCAAAACATCAACTTGTCCGTGTATGCAAAGCTGAAACCAACAAGCCACAGGGCTTTGCAATGGCAGATTATACACAGGTGTCTACCGACACCGGACTGGCTGACCACCAGGACAGACCTCGAGCAGAAAGGGGATCTCTCCCCTATCTGCTCATACTGTTCTCATTCGTCACCTAGAAAGAGAGTCACCCTGGAGCACTGCCTATTGGATTGTCCGATGGTAGCCCAGATCTGGCGTTGGTAGGATGCAGCATGACACTATTTCACGGATGAACATTTGTCGTGGTGTACCCGCACTCTACTATTCGGGAATACAACTCGAGATAATGTTACATGGTCCCCCTTTATGTCTAACCTCTTCTCCTACATCAGATTGGCAATCTTGATGCAGACCTGGAGAATGAAGTGTTCATATCAAAGGAACCAGCACACATTTGGATTCATGCAGGCACGAATAGCAATAATCGAGTCGGACACAATCACGGCCAAGACACTGCAAGCTCACAAGGAGCTACGGAAATGCAAAAAAATGAGCATGACTCAATTAAAAAAACGGAACTTGTTGACAACTTTGTTACCATATGGACGGACAAACGGAACAGGCTATGCAGTATGGATAGCCAGGCTCGCCTGCAATGGCAACCCTGTGACGCGCAAACCTCACGTCCTGTGTTGTCTTTCGTTCGGAGTGTTAGAGGTGCGGAAAAGGGGCCCAGAAAAACAACAAGATGGGGTGTGCCAAGGATTTTTGGAAATTGAGTGTGGGGACACAGACGAAACTGAAATCCCCCGTGTTGGTCCGATGAAGTAAGTCGACCGTTTTTCGCACGTCGCAAAATGCGCGCGAGAGTTCGGTGCGAAAGGAGAGAGAAATACAAATCCAATCCAAAAGGTATTGCCGGACTTCCCACCGTGCTACGGCCCTTCGTTAAGAGTGAAAAGGTTTCGGCACGCTTCGCGTGTCTCGTCTTCGTATTAAGTCTGGGCGTCGTTCACCAGATAGTTCTGAGTCCGACGTGGAGGGCCTCAGTCGTGTGGCTCTTTCTCTGTGATCGTCTTCACTTCGTACGCGGTAGTGGAAACCCTTGGATTCGTAGCGCTCAAAGCGCTGGCACTCGGTGCATAGAGTGCGAGGTCAGTGGGGTTGTACTGCCGTCCACGGGATGACGATCAACTCGTTAAACCACCAGTACCCCCGAAGCAGCCTTCCCAAACCTTGTTGTTGGAAAGCTACCGAACCTCTTTGTCTTATGGGAATCCAGCTTGCAAGTGGTCATGATGTGGGGCTGACCGGTCCTTCAATGCTGGCGACCGGTACTTCAGTGCTGGTTATTTCGTTTTTTTCCCGCCCTTGTTTTTTTTTTTCTTTTTTTCCCTTCTTTTTCTGTCATACATTTTCTTTTTCCCCATAGGGTGGCTGCTTCTGCCAGAGGAGCAGGCGAACGCACGGATGGCGGGATCGTAGTCAGAGAGCCGTGAATGACTCTATTGCCAACAGTCATCATTCTTCAGCAGGGCCATGCTGATCTTGTCTGTATCCTTCCATGTTCCAGCGTAAAGTTCATTCCCGGTTTGGTAATCTGGAAAAGAGTTCAGCGTGGGTCATTGCAAATCTCGTAGGATGAACACTCCAATACTCAGCA